GCGGTGCCACCGATGCCCGTTAGGGTCCTTTTACGTCGACGTAAGGTTAACTTACATAATGTATGAATATTGAGCGAGCAACGAGGGAACCGACGATGAGTCACGGACAGGGAATCTCTGTCGGCGCGTGGTAGAATACGGTAACCCGTCGCTTTTTATCCTATTTTCGTTTTTTCGCGCGCCGCCGTCGCTCTTTGCTTCGGCTGGCCGATTTCGCGCTTTGTTGTCCAATTTCTCGGAGAAATTTTTCGGCGTTGTTCCGTTCCAAACTCGTCGAAGACGATGCGCGGAACTTTCGATGCAGACCGAATATCTAGGGAAACGATTCGAAGACGTCGGTGCAAGTATTTCTAAAAAATACCAGGAAAAAGCAGAGTCGTCCGTATTCTCGATTTTTGTAAAAGTTGCCAGGCATTGCGAACGTGACTCTTGTTACGTTCGAGTTCATTAGAGACGCGTAGAATACATTTCCGAGAACGGGTTCTCTTCTTACACGTAATCGATCTACGTAAACGTCCAAAGTGATCGCACAAATAAAATCGTTGAAGAACCGAATTGCGGAGGACGATCCTCGTCGACGCGATCGCCAGCCGCCGAAGAGTTCCGGAGGATAGACAAACGTAGAAAGTTAATAAGCCATAGATCGATTCGGGGAGGCAGCAGCTTCTCAGGCTCTGTTATCACGCGTGTCTATCGCGCCCGCTTTCTTTCTGCCTCATCGAAATCCTGATCTACGTGTGCTCTCAATTTTGGACGGGCAACATTTGGAGCTGCCACTTTGAGAAAGTGGCACGCGTATCTATTTATACTTTGCTTCCATCCATTATCAGATTTGTATTCTGCCTATCTCCTTTCGTCGACTCGAACATCGAAGCGGAATTAAAAGCGGAGAAAGAACGCCCGAGAACCTGGCAAATACCAGCGATCGCTCGGAAATTGCTGGCCGGCGATTTTCAATTATCGTTCGACTCCTGCTCGACTCGACTTGCAGCTTAAATTTCGAGATAGAAAGCTGCGCGGCGAGATCCTGAAGCCGATGGAAGGACCTTCCTCTTTATCGAATCGTTCGGTCCTAAAACTCGCAGTTGTCGCAAATATCAGCAGTTTTGTTGCTTTCGAGCAATCGGCAGCTTCCAAGATCCAACGAAATCGTGTTCTAAAATTGGTTTTGATCTCCCGATGGAAGATATCGAGCCGAAAAGCACGCGTATCCGGGAAACTCGTTCGGGCGCGATCCGAGGACGATGTAAGAAGCGGTCGAAAAGGCATAATTGCCGAGAGAGGACGGTCGACGCTCGACGGAGCCACGGCTTCGGCTATGAATCAATCAGACCTGGCAGAAGGCAATTCAAAAACTCGACGGCGAGTATCTCTCCGAGGCAAAGAGGAACGAGGAATAGTGAAATTGACTCGTTAGTCGCGTGCGCGCGAGCGCGCGTTCGGTCGAGGTGTAAGGGCGTCCGTACAGGACGCACAATGTAGAGAACACACGGAGAACGGGTTACGTGTATGCAGCCGGCGAGGAATTCGTGAGAGTGTCAACCCACGCGGGACGCTCGACAACGGGAAACGATGACGCTGGCTGATCTCAAAGGCATCCATCGATCGCGAGCCAGTCAACGGATCGCGCAGCCCGACCGACTTTATGAGTTATAAGTCGGCCATCTTGCGAGAGCCATCACATATTCACGTGCGCGCATATGCGATGCACTGGCAATATGCAAGTGCCACATTCTGCTCTGGTGCACGCGTACAGTCTAATCTAAAAATTACGCGACCGACCGCTCTTCTTTCCCGATCGTTCCCGCTGACGAGCGAACCGTGTCTCTACCTTCTTTCCAAACGTGGTAACGTCGTTGCTACGAGCTGCCAACTCTTTTCTCTTTGCAATTCTCCCCAAAATCCCCGAATTCGTTCGACGAATTCAGAGGTACAGCACTGTCTCCCTTACCGACGCTCGGATTGTTCACAAAACTGGACGATTTGGGGAGAGGCGATACGATTGTTCGAGCTCGTTGCGGCTCGTTTTTATAATTGATGAGAATTCTTAACTATAAAAACGAGCCGCGAAGCTTGAATAATCGCATCTCCTCTTCCCAAATTGTCCATTTCTGTACACAACCTGAGCGTCAGTGAGGGAGACATTACTGTATTAAGTTTATTCCTCGAAACGACTGGAGCGGGAATTTTCGATGAAATTGCGAATATAAAATTGTCCTTTTCTGCTCGTCGAATGTTGACGAATGTTGAATCGTCTATGAATTTCTGATGCGAAGAAAGATCGTCGAATCGATTAAATGCATTCGAAATACGTATGTTTATCGGTGAGACGAATCGAACGAATGCTCGAATTAAATCGCGCGAATGAAATTATCCAGTTCTCATCTGCTCGTTAAATAATAGACACGCTTTAAACTTGGTGATTTTCTACTCGCGGAGAAAAATTGCCGTATTATACCGCATTGCCCGTATCCGTGACGCGTGTATTTTCAGCTCGCATTCGCGTAACCGATTGGAACGAACGTTTCAATTNTGTCAACCCACGCGGGACGCTCGACAACGGGAAACGATGACGCTGGCTGATCTCAAAGGCATCCATCGATCGCGAGCCAGTCAACGGATCGCGCAGCCCGACCGACTTTATGAGTTATAAGTCGGCCATCTTGCGAGAGCCATCACATATTCACGTGCGCGCATATGCGATGCACTGGCAATATGCAAGTGCCACATTCTGCTCTGGTGCACGCGTACAGTCTAATCTAAAAATTACGCGACCGACCGCTCTTCTTTCCCGATCGTTCCCGCTGACGAGCGAACCGTGTCTCTACCTTCTTTCCAAACGTGGTAACGTCGTTGCTACGAGCTGCCAACTCTTTTCTCTTTGCAATTCTCCCCAAAATCCCCGAATTCGTTCGACGAATTCAGAGGTACAGCACTGTCTCCCTTACCGACGCTCGGATTGTTCACAAAACTGGACGATTTGGGGAGAGGCGATACGATTGTTCGAGCTCGTTGCGGCTCGTTTTTATAATTGATGAGAATTCTTAACTATAAAAACGAGCCGCGAAGCTTGAATAATCGCATCTCCTCTTCCCAAATTGTCCATTTCTGTACACAACCTGAGCGTCAGTGAGGGAGACATTACTGTATTAAGTTTATTCCTCGAAACGACTGGAGCGGGAATTTTCGATGAAATTGCGAATATAAAATTGTCCTTTTCTGCTCGTCGAATGTTGACGAATGTTGAATCGTCTATGAATTTCTGATGCGAAGAAAGATCGTCGAATCGATTAAATGCATTCGAAATACGTATGTTTATCGGTGAGACGAATCGAACGAATGCTCGAATTAAATCGCGCGAATGAAATTATCCAGTTCTCATCTGCTCGTTAAATAATAGACACGCTTTAAACTTGGTGATTTTCTACTCGCGGAGAAAAATTGCCGTATTATACCGCATTGCCCGTATCCGTGACGCGTGTATTTTCAGCTCGCATTCGCGTAACCGATTGGAACGAACGTTTCAATTATTGTGCGATATAAATTTATTATAGATAACTTCCGTGGTTCGCATCTAGCAACGCGAACGATTAAATTAAGCGTTCGAATCGCGCGAGGAACGACGACAGTGTCCTCGAACGATTCGGTTCACAGTTAACTTCCTCCGATCTCCGGCGATTTTTCGAACTCGTCGAGCAAGAAGCGAAAATTATTGATGAGACGAGCATGATCGCACGACAGGCGTTTCATTAACGCAGATCTGGACCGTTCGATCCAGTCAATGGACGTTCACCGGCTTCCTGACCGAGAAACTATTAATCCCGATCGCTAATTCCGCTTTCACGGTACGTTTGACGCTGCCTGCTCACCAAAGAGTTTATCGACGCTCGTTTTCAATAGGCATTAACATCGGCCCGATAACGGAAACAATGAAATCCCGGTGAAAAAAATTCACTTCCCACGGTTGTTTCGACGTTTTCAGATAAGGTCGATCTCGGGCGGTCGCTTGGAAATTGATTTTTCGCCAAGAAACGGCTCGCGCTGCCAGCCAGCGACGATCGTCAATTGCTCCCAGGCCCAGCCCCGAATTCAATGCCAGCCAATCGTCGGACAGTCCCATTGTTGGCTCGGGTAACCATTTCGACGAAGGCGAACACCGAGCGCCTCTAATTTTCTGTTCGGCAAACGAGTCCTGCCGCGAATACGTAACAACGATCCGAGAAACGGGACGCGATCGATCGCTTCTGTCGTCGCAAGATCCTCGTGGATCCTCGAAAAAATCGGGGACCGAGGCGAGCAGAGTTTCTGGGCCGAGCCCGACTGCGCTGCTCCCGCGAATCGAAAGTTGAAGCAACGTTGCTAGAAACGCAGCCCCGGATGCTTATTAACGATCGTTAGCCGAGACCGGTCTAATTAGTCTATGTAGATCTCGGCTGGCTGTATGTGGATCACAGGGAATTTGGGTCCGATCGACGGGATCTGTTGTGTCTCTATCGCCAGACTTTTTCCACGACGCGTGTACGGTAATGTCTTCCTAATTGACGCCGAAATTCTGCACAAAAATGGACAATTTGGGAAGAGGAGGTATCATTATTCGAGCCTTGCAGCTCGTTTTTATAGTCGTTGACTATAAAATAATAATCGTTTCTCTTCTCCCTAAATTGTCATTTTTTGTGGACAATCTGTGCGTCGATTAGAGAGACATTACCGTATCGACGTCTGTTGTTCCAATTGCTTCAATCGTTGCTATCTTTCTCGTCCGAATCTTAGAGAAAACTATTCTTCGACCAACAGCATCTTCGAAATGGAAAATCCTTAATCTATTTATCGCATCCATCGACCCTGAGTCCTGAAAAACTCGAGCCGACATAAAGATTACGCGTATCAATTACCATTTTTCGAAAGCGCCAATGCGTCCGAGTGCTGGGAGAAGGGTTCCCCGGCAGTCTGGCCAGGTACAAGCGTGGATCAAAGTAGCAAGGAGCAACACGAGTACTCACCGTGAGGCTGTTGGCCGGTTGCAGGGTTCAGAAAGGTCGGCGGTAGCTGTCTGCTGACTGACTTAGCCAGCTCTCCACCCGCCAGACCATAGATCGCCAGCAGCTCTGCCATGGTCGACTCGGCGTACTCCCTCATGCCCTCGAAGGGCTTCCTCTCCTCGCACTCGTTCTCGCCGTCAGCGTCCTGGGCCCGATCGTCCTCGAAAGGCGTGTCGTCCAAACGGCCCGATTCCGCGTCCAGGCCGCCGCTGTCGCTCTTCGACGAGTCCGAGTTCGGACTTCTTGCCTGTCGAGCAGAAACCCACCCATTCGGTTCGCATCATTTCGCCGAAAGCATTCGAGGGAACGCGGCCCCCGCTTGAACCTAGTCGTCGTAATTTATCGTGCGTCAACGAGGATCCGAGAAGTACAGGACCATTCGGTGAACGCGTAATCGTCGGCCGATAAAATTAGAGGAGACTCGTAAAGTTAAGAGAGAGAAGGCCCGAGAAAATACATTAAGATCGACAAGATTAAATCGAACGAACTTCATCCTCGTCTGCAAACAGTTTTATGATCCGCCGCGCATTAGCATAATTCGACCGGCTAAAATTGTCGAACGACGGCAATCCGAAGGTGGTATGATTTTTCGGTTACCTCGGTGCCAGGCGAGTAGAGCTTCTGCGACCTCAGCTGCTCGAGGATGAACTTGTGCCTGAGCGAGTCCCCGCTGTCGTCGTCGGCCTCGGAGGAAGGCGGCCTGGTGGCCACGGACAGGTCCATGGGACTGACCTCGTTGTTGTTCAGTCTTTGCTTGGACCTGTCCTCGGCGGGCAACAGCATGGTCTTCCTCTCGTACTCGAGAACCTCGCTGGAGCTCTCCTCCATCGTCTCGAGCTCCTCGTCCTCTTTCTCCGACTCATCGGACACCTCCACCATGCGGCTGCTTATCGGCTTGAAGTTCTTCCGTTTGTTGCGCGGTTTCTGGATGCTATTGATCTGCAGCTGGGTCTGAGACTCGTACTGGGAGTCGCTGTCCTGATCGGCGGTGCCCCGCCGGGTCGTCGCGTAGTTGTACACCGAGTCAGAAAGCATTTCCGCTGATTAACAAACAGAATCTCTCGTCAATCGGCTGGGACCGATGAATTTTCGACCGTCGTCTCGTCGGCGGGTGCTGCCTTTGGCCATGCGATCGGGAACTTATCGAATTCTCTTTAAACGTGAACCGTCTCTCGTTTTTTCTTTTTCTTTTTTTTTCAAATGGCCAGAGGCTGCGTTTTTAGGGCATCGATCGCTGGAACGCGCGAACCCCCGGAGATCTCTTTGCTTTCTACGAGACGGAAGAAACGTCGCGACGTGTCTTTTTTTCAATTTGCCGAGGGCCCGGACGAAATCGGCGGAGTTAGGGTAACCATCGTGGACGAGCCACGTCGACTAGGATTGATGGATTCGGGCCGGCACTTGCGCAACCACGAAGGCCGCTCGCTTCCCGCGAATCAAATTTTAACATTAATTAGAATTCAGCCGAGGCGCACGTTAATTGAACGTTCTCGGAATCGTTAGAGCACTCGCGCCGGCTATTAGGATTCGGTAAAATGGAGGGATACGTGATCGAAAGCAACGCGCGGCCTCTGGCTCGTTGCTCGAGCAATGGCCGCTCGGAGATCGTGCCTAGAAGAGGAAGTGGCTTACTGGGGCCATACGGGCTGGTTACCGCGGACATCTCGAAACTCTTGGACTGGCCGACTCTTCAAAGCATTCTGGAACAACAGAGAAAAAACGACAGTATCAGTACCGATCGACTCTATCAAAACTATTTTAATCGAATCAACAGCATTTATCCGTCAACGATACCCTAAACGAACGCTGCTGTTTCTTCCAGGAAAAAGATAAAAGCCAAAGGCGCGTCGAGCTACAGGCGATACTCTATCAGGAATTCGACCCGACTATTTCGGATTTCGCTGGAAAACTGGGCGAATGAATTTTCATCGACCTTCTTCGCGAAGGTTCACCCCCGTTCCTGGGGGTTCGGGCGTTCCCCTATCAGGATTCTAACCCGGTTATTTCAGATTCCGATAGTAAAACGGATCGAACGATTTTCAGTCGAGATCTGCGAGGATTCCTCGACGATTTTAGGGGAGTTCCCGTTAGACGTAGCGATCGGGGCCCGACTTCCTGGGTCCCTTGGCTCGCCGAGAAACGAATTGTCCCTCGTTCCTCGTTATCGCGGGTCCGTCTACTCGGCTGACCGAGCAGCGCTCGTATATCAGCGTAGCTTTTGTTACGGCGACGTGCCTTTGTTTTCGCCCTGTTCTCGCGTCTCGTTCCAGTGGCGCAAACGTGGACGGTTCTCGCTCGTTCGGCAGCGTGACGGGCCCGTCCGGGGATTTCGCTGAACTTGCCGTAACCCACTTTCGCACTGACACAGAAATAGATAACCCCGGAGGATTTCTTTCCCCGTTCCGGTGCCCGATTCGGCTGTTCGAAGAACCGCGATTTTTCGCCGACCGTCGTTCCCTCGAACTCGGAGAATCTCGACTGCAGAAATCATCCCTGAGAATCGTGGCGCGTGGTTAAGGACTGGCGAACCTTTGACCTCTTTCAGAAATGATGGAGGATGACGCTGGATCGTCCGAACCGATTTGAGAAATGAAAATCGAGGATCGACGATAATAGAAAATTTCTCATTCTTTCCAGAGATAAATTTAATCTTGCAGAAATATGGAACGTCCCTCGCAGCTATGAAATTGCAATAACTACTCGGCGTCCCATCGGGCTCGAAACGGAGCTGTTCAGATACGGAACATCGACATCGGTCAGCCCGCTTAATGGAAAACGTTTTTTTCCCAGGAGAAACCGCGCGTCGCGCCGACAGAAACGGGAAATACCGATCCGACGAGGTTCGAGGAAACTGTCGACGGCGAAACGGAAGTGATTCCGTCGGCGGCGGCGGCGACGGAATTTCGAAGGGACGTCGGGGGAAAAATAATTTCTTGCCGCGAGTGAACCGGTGCGTCGCCATATTCGTCGGGTGGCCTTAATGGGCCAGTTTTAGTGCGGAAATAAATAACCGATAATGAACCGGACAAAAACGGAACTAACGATTCCGAGGCCGAATTAGGCGGCGTGTTTCGGATGCCTCCGCTCCAAGTTATCCAAATCGATTTCTCGACGAGAGGGCAAAAGGAAGCTGCTGGCGCTGCCGGGCTCTCGACTCTCGGCCGAGACGCGATGATTCGAGCAATCAACAGCCCGAAATAAATGACTGCTGATGAGCCAGCAGCCGGCTGATCGAAAGAAACGAAAAGTTTCGGGGCTAAGTAGATTCCTGCGGGCTGTTCGACAGTGTTCGCGCGCCACCGATGGGAACTGGTCCATTTTTCCGTTGGTTTCTTTGCAAGAGAACGCTACCTAGATGCGCGGCAACACCGATTAATCAGCCTCCCCCCCCCTCAAGGTAAATAGCGGTCATTAAATTTCCTAGAATTTTAATAACGTGTCGTACGTTATTAATATGCCACAGACTCGTTAAGCGATTACCATTGACCGCCGTTTTCCTGCACGCACAAATCGTATCTTCAATTATTCTTAATTAATTGAAAAGCTGTAACCGGCGATATTCGTCTCCGATCTCCGACACCCGAAAATCTTCGCAATTGTAGCAACGTCACTCCGATGTCATCGTCGTCGGGGAGAAGCAAAAAGAAAGGGCTGTAATTAGCGTCGTAAATACGGCTAATGATTATTAACGCGGTCCTAACTACCTCGTCCAACCGCTCGGAACAGTCGCCAACACCGGCAAAAAGTTCCCGATCCGCCGTCAAATTAAAAGCATCGCCGAAAAATGATCGTCGATTTCCGAAACCTCGCGTACACCGTGTTACCACCGCGATTAAGAATTCTGGAATCGAGATCTTTTTTTCAATGCCTCGATTACCGGCCGACAAATTGCGCTTGGGGCAGGCTCGAAGCGCGGCGAAATTATAGAATAGTGCCAAACGACCTTGACGATAAATTCACGACACTTCCAAAGAAATCACAATCCTTCGTCCAGCTTGCCACTTTAACGCTGGTTCACCGTCCACTTCGCGGCACAAAACAAATTTGAAGTACCAAGTGGCTATCGACGAATTAAGCGGTAATAACAATCATCGAGCTTCTCGCATAATCTCACCGGAATCCGTAGGCCGTGCATGTTTCCCCGTTAGTCACCCCTCCGGCATCCGAACCGCTGCAGCGGTCATGCAGAAGTCAAGGAGGTCATGGGATCTTGCGAGTCACGAGTTAGGAGGATCGATTAGGCCGCGGGGTGGCTAAAGGACGAGGAGAGTACGAGAGAATCCTAGAGCGAGAGAGAGAGAGAGAGAGAGAGAGAGAGTGAGAGAGAGAGGGTGAGAGGGAGAGGGGGTTCGGTTGCATCGAGTTGACAAGTCGACAGGACTCGAGGAGACCTCCAGATAGGTTCGAGAGAGAATTTCCCTAGCGGCCTAGCGGTTTCGCCGGAAGTGAAACGCGATTGGGCCTCGTGGGCACTAGGCGGGCCACGTGGAGAGCCCGCTCGCGAGGACAACGAGGCAACAAACAAGGAGACCTCCTCGACCGACGGGGATGCAGAAGAGCAGAGCGGACGATATGTCGGGCCGGGGCCGGGGCCGGGGCGCTCTTTTTTTGCCGGCTGTACACAGAAGGGATAATTAACATCTGTTACAGTACGCGGGCCGAGGCGGGCCGAGGCGGGCCGCCCCGTTTCACCCCCACCATCTAGCAACGGGGCGGACCTTGAATACATTATCACCCTGTTTGCACATGAACGTGCACCGTACGCCGGCCGGTCGAATCGGAGTGCAGCAAAGATCGACCCTGAACAATGGGACTGGAAGAAAACCTCTTTGTTGCTCCGCCGTTCGAGACGGAGACGCTTCTTTTGGACGGCGAACCCGACAGGCCGTCGACGAGTTTCTTGTTTTTCGAGAAGTTCCGCTTTGGTGCCGGCTTTGGTGTCGATGAAAAATTCAATCCGGCTACTCTCTGATTGCCGAGTACTCTTTCTCGGGAATTTATTTGCACACCTTTCCCGGCCGTGCACCCTTTCTCTGTCTCATTTGCATCATAATATTCTTTTCCGACGGTTGTTTCTACGTTCTCTTCGATCGTGATTCTATGCGTAATTAAAACCATTGTGGCTCCGCGGCTCCGTTTTGCCGACGTAGACAAGGGGAGGATATCCTTTGGCCGCTCGTTTTTTCTATTTTTTTTTTTTTTTTTGTTAGCAGACTGCGCGATATAACCGAATCCGAGGATATAACCGACCGTGTTGGACGTAGAAACGCCGATGATTTTCTAAAGAGGCGTTTAACGGCAGGAAATTGGCTGTGGCAACGCGACGCGGGGACACCGAGGAAATCGTGGAAAATACGACGGCGGAGTTTCTGCGGAATGTCCGGTCAGAACCAGGTTTCCCGATCTATCCTAGTCCCTGGCTCGGTTCCCTCGGCGGAAGGGGTTAGTTCTTTCCTCACGGATTCGAGAAAAAGAGAGATTCCCGGGCCGGCTGGCCTAGATTCTTGGGGCGCCGGTCTCGAACTTACCGAGAATAAAGACGGGACAGAGAGCGGCGGAGCAGCGGCCGCGGAAACTAGCCGGGGAACGGGAAACCTTGGGATTCTTCGGGCTATTATTCGAAACCCGTAAAAAGCGACGCTCCTAATGATTCAATTCGTGCGGTAGGAGGAGGTCGGACGATTAGAAAAACCGGCGGCGAGCTCCCCTGTCACGGCTCGCCGATGATGAATTCAGTCGCTGAAAAAGGAACTGAACCGCTGAAAAGGGGAAATTGAGACGTTTTCCTCGGACTGCTTGTCAGCCGGACTCGCCGCGCTCTGGGAATCCTCCTTTTGCGATTTTACAGCGCGATTTTCATCAAAAATTCTCGATATCGAAAGTTCGTCGACGGTCTTTCTCGATCGGAGGCTCGATCATTTAATCGCTTGCTAAATATATAGATGTATTTAACTTCGAACGACGATTTTACTTGCCGCGTTTCTGCAAGTTATGCTTCGAGCGAACCTGATAATGCTCGCAGATGAACGTGCTCCGCCAGGTATCCTTATATCGAAGACAATGAGACCATTGCTAGCTTTAGACAATGACGTGCCTCGAAAAAATCCTCTCGTGTTCCTCGTTCGTGCATAAAACGCGCGACGGTTCTTCGCGAACGACAAAAGTGTTTTCCACGATTCTTCAGGGCCCAATATCCAGGTCTCCGATCGTCGAATAAAAATTCTTTCAACTTTCGACCGAAACGAAGCAAATTTAATCGAAGAACCGAGAGACGATCCTGTTTCGAACGGCGTGAGTACCGAAACGCGTTACCTTTTGCCAGGCAACGTCGCTTTTCGGGTAACGGATCGTCGAAGCATGGACCAGACGACGTCGGCGAGTGAAAATCGAACGAACGATCGTCCAGGGTGTTCCCTTGCGCCCGGAAGCGACGAAAGGTCAACGTTCCGGGACAAAAGGATCATTAAGAAGGAGAAACGATCGGGCACGGATTCTGGCAACCAGTACGAACCCCGAAGAGACAGCAGTTGGTCCGTGAGAGGCAGCGCCGGCCTGCCACTCGACATAGCTCGACGCTGATGCCGATACCAGAAGCGGGAAAACAAAAAAGCAGGCGACGTAACGCGTTCGCTCGCTCGAATCTCTCTCTCTCTCTCTGCTTCTTTCTCTCTCCTTTTCTTTCTCCCTTTCTCTTTCTCTT